GGGGGAGGGGGCGGAGGGGGCGGGGGCGGCGGAGCAGCGGTACTGCCATTGACATTGGGGTGAGAGTTAGATCCGGCATCGGGTATGGCGGGTGGAGATGTCGCGCCCTCTTCTAGCTCGTCTTCGGGTACCGCAGGCAGTGATCCTGCGTCCGAGTCGCCAGACCCCGGAACTGTGCCACCCATAGCGGCAACCCTTGTCGCGAGCTGCTGAGCAAGCGTTCCGGAAGCCGCGGTAGTCTTGACTCTGACCAGACGTTTCGACCCATCTGCACCACCAGTAACTAACGTCCAGCTTTCGCCAGCGTCCCAATGGTCTCCTTCTGGATTCCCACTAGCGCTTTCAGGGTCACCCCCACCGTTCGACATATCGAGGAAAGAGCCAGTGCCAGGAGAGCCAGCGGGGCGTGGGATCCCACCATTTCTCATAGGGCCATTTGGATCTCGACCACGAGCACTTCGAGGTCTTCCCGATGCGGGATCGCGCGGATCAGCCTAAATTTACTTCAACGTAAGCCTCGCATAGAAAGGAAGAGAGAGGGTCAATATACCAATATATCAACGCCAGCCGCTAGGCTTGCTTCTATATGAGCACGTACGCGCTCCTCCTCTGCCCCATCCACGATATGGGAGCTTTGACCCATGGTGCCATCTGAAGATTGAGCAGAACCAGCCGAATAACCCTTGGACCGCCCCTTTGTGCGACCCAAGTGCATAGATTTGAGAGGAGGAAGGCCCTCGTCGTCTGATCCAGCATCATCAGTGTCGGATCTCATCTCTTCAGCATGTCCACCGCGCCTCCGCCGCCTTTGCCTGCCTTCCAGGATCCCAATCGTCTTCTTCCTCTCAACCTGAGTCGATATGCGAGAAATCAGATCCTTTCGATTCTGCCCACCCATGCCGCCTGCGCTATCGAGGACGTCTCCCAGACTTCGTACTTCACGAAGCATTTTGAACAGCTCCATAATCTGCATTTCAAGCTGATCGATCTGATCCTCGAAGGCGTGCTTCTGCTCGTTGAGTCGACCTTGTAGTGCTTCAGTCGTTTGGCGGGAAACCTTGAGCTTTTCCTCAAGCGCTGCGACTTTCTCCTTTAGCTTTCCGACGAGCCCTGATTCTGCCTGAGCGAGCTCCTCTTCGAGAGCCTCCTTCTCCAACTTGACTCGACCAAGCTGGATACGAGCCTCCGTCGCCTCCACCTCAGCCCGCTGCGCGCGATCGTGTTCGCCAAACTGGGCAACAAGACGCGCCACGGACACTCCGATCGTTTGGGAGAGGCCATCGGCAAACGACTGCTTCTTGTCGAGGACCACCGACGTGATGAGGGAGTCGATTAATTGGTAATAGCGCACTCGCAATTCGCCCTCCTCTCGAATGAGGAGAAGATGCTGCATCGCGGAGACGAAAAAGTCAAACGCCTGGGTCCCCTGAATGCTGGCGATGATCGCTCTGAACACATCGCCCGGATTCCTCAAATCCCGAAGAATGCTCTGATCGAAATTCTGCTTCAACTGTTGCTGATCTTGTTCAAGAAACTCATCAAATGAGTCGAGTTGCTTGTCGAGGGACGAGAAGCCGTAGGTTCTGCATTTGAGCAGAATGGATCGCAGTCCGGCGGCGTCCATTTGCGATCGGTGATGCATTCGTAGCTCAAAATCCTCCGTTTCACCCAAGATGCCCATGATTAAGAGGATATTGCTTTGCTAACCGCCAGAGACGTCAAATCAGATTGGGGTCTTCGGGATGAGATACATGAGACGTGCATACCGCATATTCATTCAACGAGCTGTCGATGCCGCCACTGCGCTTCACTTCGTCACTCGCCCCAACCAAGCTACCCATCTTTCCACGACCCTCTAAAGTTGCCTCCAAACTCTTGAACCAGTAGGTATAGCGCCCGGTAAACCCATTCGCCTCGCTAAGAGCCTCCAGTGCGGTCAACACATTGGGGAGTGCGCTCGAGGAGGCATAGTAA